TTCACATCAAAGTAGACTAATTATGTTGAAAAAGCACAGGGTTAATGTAAGTAAACTGTGCACGACTCAGCATGGCTGAAGGGCAGGGTAATTTTAAAATCCAGCATTGTTACTGAAAAATGATCACTCTTATGATCACTTCTGGAGTGTCTTAATGTATGTACATTTTATACACAGTAATTACCTCCTTTTCATTTATCTCTCAATCAAGTCATCATCAGCTTTCACCTGACTTGCTGTTTTAAAAAGAAGATAATGTGACTTTTTAAAATGATTTTATTTTCTTTCATAAATGAGAATACAATGAAGTTTTATTCAAGAAAGCATACTAATTTTTAGCAAAGTCTTAGCAATCACAACTCAAAACAATACTTTGATTTTTGCAAGTCAAAGAAGTAGCAAGTGAAAATTTGAATTCCACTTTCAATTTTTTAAATTACTTGGAATTTAAACTGAAAAGTAGTAAGACATCATCTGTCTTTTAATCCTCATATGTCCGTGAATGGACAACAGACCATAATAGGTAGTAAAAAGCTTTGCATTTCTCATATTGAAATATGTATTTGTACTTCTTTGTAGAAAGAGTTGTGTCTATTTTATTTAAGACAGACTCAATGGGAAAGACACTTATAGTCCCATTCCAGCCCACTTTATCAGTGTGTAAAATGAAGTGGGAAACTTTTTGTCAATTAACTCATTAAGGAAAATAATGGTAAAAGAATAAAAGAGTATCAGTTACTACTGGTAAAGTTTCAACCAAAGTTTGTTTTGAACTTTTTGTTATTCAGGTCAAAGTTGAGTATACTTGTATAATAAAAACAATGTGAAGTAGTTGACTTAAGATTTAAAACTTAACCTACATATAGGATATTTCATGGGAAAGTATTCAATTTTAAAAAAGGAGCAATGCATATATATGGAAACATAGTTTAATGGCTCAAAGTATTAAGTAATGTTACAAAAGCCATTATGTAATATCCATTAGTCATAACATAGTTTTCTCCTTATAGGATTAAAATTTTCAAATTAATACTGAATTAGCATTCTGCCAAATATGGCTTTTAAAAATCCCCTCAGTGAGCAGCAGATTATGTAAGAAATAGGGAAACAAGGAGTTTGTAATTTTAGCCATTATTTATGTAGCAATATATAGTACAGTGAATGCTTTGCAAATGTTATCTCTCATGGAGTGGCTCTTTATTCTTCTCGGGAGACACTCACTCGGAGAGATTTAGTCAACTGTTACTGAAACAAAGTGCGCAAGTGTACTAGTCTCCAAATCCGTGCTCCTTCTACTTTGCCTCACGTGACTGAGGTAGCACGAGAGGTAATGGCAGTGCTAATGATGAAGATGATGATAAAAAGGAACTTATCTCTCAAGGATTCTCTACAAATTAGGGAATTTTAAAAATGATATAATAAATTACAATGGTAGAACACAAAGCAATAGTAATAGAGTTTTGAAACAAATTAATTTGTAGTAATTTAGATATCATGACATTTCTTAGAAGGGTAGTTTAAGGCCAGAGAGATGGCTCAGTAGAATAAGCGCTTGCCTGGCAAGTGCAAGCTCCTGAGTTCAATCCCCAGTACCACAAAAGGAGAAGGAGAAGGAGAAGGAGAAGGAGAAGGAGAAGGAGAAGGAGAAGGAGAAGGAGAAGGAGAAGGAGAAGGAGAAGGAGAAGGAGAAGGAGAAGGAGAAGGAGAAGGAGAAGGAGGGGAAGGAGGGGAAGGAGGGGAAGGAGAGGAAGCTGCATAATGTATAACTTAACACAAGGATAGGTTCAGGAGAAAAACAGAGAAAGGAAGTGCTAGGAAATAGTTTTCTGGAGGTAAACGATTCAGAAGAAAGATGAAAGACAATAGATGATAATGAGAAACCTGATATGGTAGAAGTTCTTGAGTTCTGTTAATTTTGTTTTATGCTTTGGAGACAGAACATGAGGTCTTCCCACTTAGCCTTCTTCATATTTTTATATATGATAAATATTTTAAAATTAAAATTTATTAGCACCCATATGCAGTACACAATGTTTAAATTTCTCTTGGGAACTGACACAGAGACGTGCTAGTTCCCTAAGTTGCACAGGCTGGATTTTAAATTCAGATCGCTCCAACTCAGCCTTCCAGAATCAGCATTCTGCTAGGGTTTCAGGTGGATGTCACCACTCAGTTAAAACAATTAAAGCACTAAACATAAGGCACCAGTGACTTGTCTAGGAAGCAGCTTAAAGAGCTGGCTAGAAATATGTTGAGGAAGAATTTATGGCTGTACGCTTAGAATTTTGTGATCAGCCACCTACAGGCTAATTCTGAGGCTTGTTGGTGACTAAGTGAAGAAGGACCTACCCAAAAGCTGAGATGGAGCCGTGAGCGATGGCAGGTGCATGCCCAAGGCAAGTAGAGGAACAGAAGTGTGGGCCTCTTGAGTTGACAAAAAGGATACTGTTCAATAATAGTGTCTTTAGAGGTTAAAAATATGGTTACCGATAGATTTAAGGGGAAAAACTAGAAGCAAAAGCAAGATTTTAGAGACAGAAATTTAGAGTGGAGAAATTAGATGTAGAGTAAGAGAATCATTTCTGATGTTGGGCCAGACATTGAACAGGAAAGCAGGCTAAAGTAGGAGTGTTCCAGTGACTGAAACACATGTTGAAATTTCTACTAGGATTCAAAACTTTCTTTGGAAATTGGAAAAGTCAAAAAGATAAATCACAAACTGTATGTGGATATATTAGCTATAATCTATTAGAAATGGATGTGGATTGTTTTATAGTAAAGACATTCTGTTATGTTAAGTATGACTCAAAGCATTAAATGTTACACATAACAGATAAGAAAAAGATACCGGTTATTGTGGATAAGTTTCAAACTAAAACAACCCACAATTCATTTGGTGCTTTGAATCAGAACTCATTTATTTCTGTCTTCTTGACAGTTAGAAGAACAGTCCTTGATCTAGTTGAGGTAGCTCATTCATATCAACATCCTCCTTCTAATACTTCTCTAGTGATTTCCATTTCTTAAAAGAAGTAGAAGGAAATTCAGAGCGTAGGGCAAAGCTCCTTCAGTTAAATTCTTGGAATGTAACACAGATGAATTCTGCCTATATAGTATTCCCAAATTGAAATTGAGTTGCAGAAAACAATAGGTGAAACATGAAGTTTTAGTTCATCACTAATGCCTCCATAAAACTCTGGGAGGGACTGGAATACTGAGTGTTAGCCATCATTTATAGATGACCTCAAAGAAAGAGAGAGGCAGCAATCCTTGCAAACTCTTATGAGCTAAGTCTTAATACTGTTTGCATATCTTAGGTTGAGAAAGTAGGGCTTGTAGTGCTGATGGATGGAGATGCATGGTCTGATAGAGTCCGAAATCTAATCACACTCATGTCATTGTCTTTTGTGAGCAATTAATTTTTAGGTAACTTGATATGGTAACATTTTTAAAGAAAGAATTTTTATATAATGACTAATGTCAAACTTCTTTTTTTTTTTTTTTTTTTTTTCGGAACCAGGGATTGAACTCAGGCCCTTGCACTTGCCAGGCAAGTGCTTATTCTACTGAGCCATCTCCCCAGCCCCATTGCCAAACTTCTGACGCATTCAAATACTTCAAAAATCCATGTAAGCTGTTTTCACAAGTGCAAGGTGACAAAAGAATTTAAATAAAAATGTCTACCTCCAGACTTAGCCATGGACAACAAATCAGATCAGAACACACTTGTGCAGTGTGTCATTTTAACTTAGAGAACCAACAGCCACAAATCCCCTCTTTATCTATTAATTAATTAATTAATTTAATTTGATTATTTTTTTGCCAAAGATAGGCTATTAAAACAAGTTTGTTCTAAAATTGCCTTAAAGAAGAAAATGGTTTATTTGGTCTTTCGAATTTTAATATGTAAGAAAAATTATTGTGAAAAAATCGAGCTCTCTGAAGTGACAGATGCATTATTCAAATAATTTTGAATGAAAGATCTCTCAGTGTTTTCAAAAAGGGCACGTTAACTAATTTGGTTTATAAAAGAGTGGCTTTAAAATGTGAGATTTGGAGGAAAATATTTTTGGAATCTATTAATTAGACTAAGTATATTTAATTATGGCAGTTTTTAAATCATCCCATTAATTGATAAATGTATCTAGATTATAATTAGCATAAATTAATTTATATTCACAGTTGACAATTTAAAATGTCCTCAGTTTGAGTTATGTGATAGATGTTAATGATATTTGTTAAACCATCAGTAATTGGTCTTAAGATAGGATTTGATGCTTTTTATCTTAAAACAGTGATTCCAGTGAATTATAAATTTGGGACCAAAAAGTGGAAAATGGTCTCAGTATGTATTCTTGCTCCTGACCCTGCTTGGGTAGCACACATATTACATGTGGATGAAACCTATGCTGTCAGAAGCATATTTGAGTGCTGTACATTTTGATTTTGTTTTCTCTAGAGGTGATTTTGTTATACACAAACGTGTATGCCTACTTAAGTATGCAAATATATGTGGATTATTTTAGTCTCTGTCAATTTTATAGTTTCTGTTATCTAACAAATACTTAAATGATTTTCTGTCTTTCTCCTGTCTTTAACAGTTATTGCAGTCTTAAAAATGCATATTTTATAAATAAGTTTGTTTTCTGTTTTAATAATTTTCTAGTTTGTTTCTAAAATAATTATTTAATATTCCATGCATGAAAAATTTCTAGTTTTAAAAAAAATCTTGATTTATTGATATACAGATTTTCTTCTCAAGAAGTAGTATCCAGTTAAGAAATGTCTTTTCTTATCTTATTATGGAAGGTAACTGATAAGGCCAGGATCTTTAAAATCTAGTGCTTGCTGTCATGCATATGAAATGTTACTATAGAATGCCTATATCTGGTTTCTATTTAATCTTACCTGTCTTTTTGTTTCTTTTGCAGCAAAAATGCAGGATAGAGTCTCTTCTCACTGCAATTTAAATATATTCTTTTTTCTGTCAATTACCACAG